ACTTGCACGTGACTCGTTCACACACGTTGCACCGCCGCTCCATATCTATAATTGCATAGTACCTTCGCGCCATGTGATACTTTTTTAATGCGGAACGGCATGAATAACACTGAAAGCATTCATCTTCACACGTGTCACGAAATATATATTTTTCTCAATCATTCTTCACATTTTCAGAAAGGATAAATTGGAGCGTACACAGAATCAAAATGTGGTTTATAAAATATCTTGTGAAAATTGCGAAGCAAGTTATGTAGGCCAAACAAAGAGACAATTAAAAACAAGAGTACATGAACATGTTTCTGACATTAACAAATCATCAAAATCTCCATCTGTAATAACGAATCACAGAATTGAAACAAATCATGATTTTAAGTGGAATAGCGTGAAAATATTAGATATAGAACCTTCGTATAGAAAAAGATTAATTTCTGAGATGGTTCACATTAAGAAACAAACACAAGGTATAAACAGACAAACAGATACAGAGTCATTGCCTGACACATATATTAACATGATACATTCCCTTTCCATTTCTTAGTATTGTCACGATTTCTTGTCCTCTCCTGACGTTCTGCCGTTACATTACATTGTTCGACTTGATCAAGAGTGTGTCACGTACATTGGTGCAAAATATTTTATAGTTATAACATTTGTGACAAGGATAATTTATATAGCATATTAATGGATTTTATTTTTACTGACACATATGTTGATTTTTTATATTTACTGACACATATTTGGATTTTTTTATATTTCACTGACATACTATTGTGTAATTATACTTCACGACAAGGTAAATGACTTTATGTTATTTCATTATAGACAATATTCTTTATATATAACCTGAGGTTTCAAATGTACAATTATTCTTTCTTAGATATGAATTCATTCGCAACTTAAATTAATTAATTTCTAATGGACAACTTGCGCTTTTATGTCAACGATAAGATTACGCGTGCGATTTTATGTAATGTCTTATTTAATCATATTTATTTCTATTTAAGAGATTATAACGGTAATTAAGATTCATGACAAAATTTGTAACATTGAAAATGACCCGATTGGAGTCGAAACGTTTGTATCTATAGATTTTAATTTGATTTAATTAAATACGTTTTGTTTAAATATTGGTTCTATACCCTTTTAATTGTCATATTGTTTTATACATACGGAACCTTATAATTACTTATTAATATAAATTAAAATATAAGACATAACAATAACATAGTGTAACAGTACTAACAGTATATAAGTATATAGAAACAGCAATACATAATTTATACATAATACATAATGTACGTGTTCCATTTATAATTCGTATTCTTTGCAAAGGTTGTGGTCATGAAAAAAGTGTGTAACACAAAGCGACTTTTACATCATGAACAAGTATGGTAATTATAGCAGTTGTGCCACAAATATCACAATTTACTTTTGATTTACTTTGGAAAACAAGATTCAACTGGTGTTTGAAATTCTGCTTGTCTATTCTGTGTATATCCACTTTTAAACCACGCAAATTTAAATAAATTTTGATATCTAGGCGATGAGAATTGATGGTGTGTCAATGATTGCAATTATGCTCCGCTTCGTCCAAGTAGACAAGGTAGTCATGTTCCATGCTACTTCCCATCAACAAGCATTTTAAAGCTTGCGCCAAAAAACGAGGACCGCTGGCGCTGCGTCGTCGCGCGTGCGCTGTAAATCTTCATTGTGTTGCTTGTTCTCCCTAACCACAACATCGTGCTACGTGTGTTATTATTAATTTCTAAAGAAAATGGGAAGACACTCTTCATTTAAGTCTCGTAAGCATCGAGAATACTCTCGAGCTCACCTGTTCTGTCTATTAGCACGAGCCGTTTAAGGAACGCACTGTAACTTCGCATTCGATGGATAGGTTCACAATGACTGTTAACACTTCAGTTCATATGAAAAGTATATTAGTCCACATGTGTTTTGTAATGTATATATTTTACACGAGTGTTGCACTGAAATGTGTTATTGTTCGTAATTGGTAATATCTCGAGGAAAGTTGTCAAAGTCTGTGTGACAGCGAATACCCTGAGCCTATGTGTGGCAACGCCTGGGGGTTTCGCTACGTGTGGACATACACTCTGAGCCACTGTGTGGTTACGCCTAGGAGTGTAGCCTATTCGCGAATGGACGCGACTACGCCTGAGGCCGTCGCCTTGGGTCGCTACAACACACTACACTGCCTTTCGTATAAGAAATTAAACTCTCGATTCACGGCTTAGAGGACCGATATTTCGACTGTTCTTCACGAGTTCCGAATCGAGACTACCCCACTGCGCGCGTTTTCCACGTCGAAAGATACTGAAAAATAAGGATAGTAAATCGGCGGTCTATCGTCAAGAACACACGTGTGCCGCGGCTCCTATCATCTCCGCGGCGACAAAGACCGAGACAGTCGCCAGGAAGTCTCCGCAATACTAGGCGACGAGACACTCGCTTGATTGTATATGATTAAAGGCGCCGAACCATGCAAAAAAACTCTTCGGTATTTCGGCTTTCTTTCGATCGTGTACATGGCCATGTACTGTATATGTGTACATATATGTGTAAGTGTGTTGTTTGTCCAACGTTTTCTTTTATATGTCGTGCACGAATATCAAATGCGTAACATCCTCCCCCCGTTGAGAGGGATCGATCAACTATAATTGTTGTGTTTTAGTGTGCGTATATCACGTTATTACACGTGCATAATCGATTGTAATAGTATTGTATACTAAATAAATGAACGGTATTCGTATGTGCATAACGTATAGCTTGTCGGAGTGATACAATTTGTCTTAACGTTAGCATAGCGTATCTTATATCGGTAATACAATATATGGTAATGTTATCGCTCGACTGGTAACAAACATAAATATCTTGCCGCTCTCTCTACCTCTCCATTTGCTGTTTTGACTGTGGCTGCTCGTACTCTGCCATCGTCACCCGGATGAATCTTTGTGATCCTTCCTAGGGCCCATTGATTGCACGGCAGATTTTTATCCTTGATAAGCACCACGGCTCCAGTGACAAACTGTGGCTCATCCTTGACCCATTTGACGCGTACCTGGAGCTCATTTAAATATTCTAGGTTCCAGCGCGCCCAGAAATGTTGCCGTACCTTGGAGATGTGTTGCCAGGTGGATAATCTGTTAGCTGGAACACTCGTCAAATTGCCCTCCGGGAGAGCCGTTAGCCGTTTGCCAATCAGATAGTGGGCGGGTGACAACACGAGTAAGTCGTTCAGATCACAAGAAAGAATCGTAATTGGTCGAGAGTTTAAGATGCTCTCGATTTTGATAGTGAATGTATTTAACTCCTTGAACGTAAATAACGAATCTCCCACAACTCGTTTAAAATGGTGTTTGAAAAGCTTGACCATGGACTCCCACAATCCACCAAAGTGCGGCGCGGCGGGTGGTATAAAATGCCACGTAATACGATGGTTGCATGCGAATTTATTTACCTGTTCCTTATGTTGATCGGAGTTAAATAGAGCGTACATTTCTCTTAGCTGTTTATTCGCACCCACGAAATTAGTGCCGTTATCTGAATAGATATGTTCAGGCATTCCTCTCCTCGCAACGAACCGTCGCAACACCGCAAGAAATCCGTCGGATGTTAAGTCGCTAACTACTTCGAGATGTACCGCTTTAATCGTCATACGAAGATGCATATATAGACCTTGATCCGAGCTCTATTTCGATGTTTCTTTTCCTTAATATAAAATGGGCCGCAAAAATCGAGGCCGGTGTTAGTGAACGGCACCGTTTCACGTACGCGAGCCTGTGGGAGATTCCCCATTTTATATTCGACATTGCTAGCATTGAATCGAAAACATCGCGTACACGAGCGCACAATTTTCCGCACCTGATTACGACCGTCAGTCAACCAAAATTTTTGGCGAGGGATATAGAGTGTTGTTTGGATACCGGAATGATGATTTTTCTCGTGGGTTTCACGGATAATACGGTCGGTCAGATTGTGTCGACTCGGTAATAATATAGGGTGTTTTCTCGAAAACGTCGCATCCGAATTTTGTAGACGTCCCCCAACGCGAATTAGGCCTTGATCGTCCAAAAACGGATTTAAATTGGCAAATTTGTTCTTAATTACAGGATTCTTGCCTTGAAGAATTCTGATTTCGTTGGAGAATCGAGTAGCCTGAACGATCCTCAATACTCGTCTTTCAGCCTCGTCTATTTCCTTTATGCACAATGAACCAGTGTGCGTATTAATGGGAAGCATGCGCAGACAATATGCCACGACTCTTAATAATTTGGAATAAGAGGAGAAACGTTCGATTATTTCAGGTTCATTAGAAATTAACAGACAAGTATTTCTTCGCAATTCGAGTATTTCGTTTATTTGCACAAGATTGTCAGGCCACTCGTCTTCGTCCTTGCTCAACCACGTGGGTCCGGTAAACCACATCCGGTTTCGCGAAAACACGCGCGGTAGCTGGCCTCTTGATATCCCGTCGGCGGGATTGTTCTCTGATCTGACGTAACGCCATTCGTTCGATGGTGCTAATTCCTGTACCTCCCTAACGCGATTGGCCACAAACGTATTCAGTAACTGAGGTGGCGTTTTCAACCAATGTAGTACAACGGTGGAATCGCATCAGAATAGAGTTTTACTAGACTTGATCGTTAGTACGTTGCTTACCTCGCGATACAAACGAGCTAATAATAATGCACCGCAAAGCTCGAGACGCGGAATTGTGACATTTTTTAACGGTGCAACGCGAGACTTTGCGCATAATAATCTAACGGTCGTATTTCGGTCCTTTCCTAATGAACGTACATAAATGCATGCGCCGTATCCTTTGTTACTGGCATCGCAGAATCCGTGGACTTGCACGTCACGATAGTTGTCGGTTACTAATTTACGATCGAAAGAAATTTGACTTATTATTCCGAGTTGCTGGACGAACTCTAGCCACGCTGTGTGTATACTCTGCGGAACAGATTCATCCCAATTTAGTCGATGTCGCCAGATTTCCTGCATTAATCCCTTGGCATAAAAAACAACAGGGCCTAATAACCTTAATGGATCGAAGATCTTCGCGATCTCCGATAATATACGCCGTTTCGTAAACCGTTCTGTGAATTCGATGGGTTGGACAAGATAGCGTATTTCGTCGTCCCGTGCTCGCCACGTCCATGGTGGAAATATACAAGGTGAACCATTGCGCATAATGGCGGCATTGAGGGCGTGGCTTAAAATTTCGACCAATCAGTTGTTACCCAAGCGGAGATGCGCGTATTTTAAGTGTACAAATTATTAATTGGAAATTAAAACACGATATGTATGGAAAATTAAATATATTAAATATAAAATATGAAATGAATACAAAATATAAATATAAAATATTAATAAGAATAACATGCATAAAGTACATATCATAACAAAATAATACTTAAGTCATGTAATTATGTTACATATATGCTTCATTTTTTTGTTTTTTTCTGCTATTATTGTTTATTATTTCTTGATTTAGTTTTCTAATTCTAAAATATGACACTTCTAAAATATGACACGTACCATAACACTGCATACAACGTACGAGCACACAGCTGACGCAGCAACACTCAGTGTCGGCCATACTGAATTTTGCATCTTGGGTAAAAGCTGATTGGTTCATTGCTCCCCACTACTTTTGAACGACTGCGCATCCACCGGAATGGTTCACCTTGTATATTTCCACCATGGCCACGTCAAGCCAAGAGTTTTTAAGAAACGATATTCGCCGAACGCAAATCCCGCGTGTAACGTGTCATCCGCGAGATCACTGACAACGCGTTCCTCATTAGAGGCCCATTGTCTGATCGTGAACCCGCCGCGGGCAAGCAACGCGATGACTTCATAGCGAATAGCTCGAACCTCGTCGATGCTGTCGGCCCCGGAAATTAAATCATCTACATAAAGATGGGTTTTGATGACCTTGGCGGCCTTCGGAAATGCATGACCTTCATCATCGGCCAATTTCTGTAATGCGCGAATCGCGAGAAATGGCGAAGATGACACACCGAAGGTAAGCATATTAAATTGAAACGTAGTAATTTTATCATCTTTGCGCCACAGAATCCGTTGATAACGCCTATCATCCTCGTGTAACCGTATTCGCAAATACATTTTTTCTATATCTGCTGTGATCACATATTTATATGCTCGAAATCGTATTAGATGGGCGAATAATTTGTCTTGGATCGTAGGCCCGACCAATAGTATATCATTTAGAGACAGGCCGTTACCGGACTTCGCGGATGCATCAAATACTATACGCACCTTCGTGGTGTTACTCGTTGCCTTTGAAACCGCGTGATGTGGCATGTAATATCCGTAATTATTAGGATCCACGACCTCGGACAAGTAATTTAATTTCAGGTATTCCTCAATTATGCGCGTGTATTCTGTCTTTAATGACGCATCTACTAAAAATCTACGTTCTAAAGCTGTTAAACGTTTAAGCGCGATGGCTCGCGATTCGCCGAGATGCCTTTCGGTTTCGCGAAACGGTAAGCGAACCGTGTAACGTCCAGAATCGTCACGAGAAACGGTCCGCATAAAATGCGCTTCACAAGTATCCCCCTCCCATAACCTAGAGGTTTCTATTCGGCATGACATCTTCGAGTGCCCAAAATTTATCTAATTGTGCTTCCAGGTTTGTTACATGACACGTTTCCGATTTCGACGAAGTCTGCGATGTCGTACCGCCGACAATTACCCAACCTAAGCGCGTTTTCTGTAAGTATAAATCGTGTCCGTCGCGGGATAGATTTATCTGTCCAACTGAAAATAATGATACCGTGGCTCCTGAACCGATCAACAAATCGATTGGTCGCGGTAAGTGAAATTCCGGATCTGCTAGTTTAATGTTGGGAGGTATTTTTATTGAATCGCGCGGAAAGATTTCGGCCGGAATTAGATCCGTAATAGACGGTAGCGTTAGACATGTCAAACTTCGGCTAAAGTCGTCCTTCGTTGAATTTATGACGATTCTCACTATTCCCTTCGAGGAAGTACTCATCGCGTTGATCGCGCTGACCGGCACTGCGAAAGTACCGGTATATTTAGCCGTTTCACGAGGTGATCAGTGATGAAATTCGCCGTTGCGCATGTATCGAGTATCGCGCGACATCTGACTGAATTATGCTTGCTGTCGCTAACATAAATTATCGCACTCATTAACAATTGCGGGGTTATTCCGCCAGACATCGACACGAGGCTCGTTATTCTCTCGTTTGATTTGCTTAGTCAGGATTGATTTGTTTCCGGTTTCGTCGCGTCGATCTTGCTCGACGTCGCGTATCCTTCGAGACGCAATAATGTATTATGGCGCTTCTGGCAGATCGTACACTCGGAGAACTTGCAAGGACGATCTCGATGGGAGCGCAAACAATTGTAACATATTTTTGCGTTTCTTACTGCCTCGATGCGTTTGGGTATTGGCAATTGTTTGAATTTGTCGCATCGGTATAGAGGATGCTGTTTTGTTTTGCAAATCACACAGTTACGCGATACATTTACTACGAATGCCTTGTTGGCAACGCAACTGCATTTTTTCTTAATTTCGGGTTCGCCCTTGCATTTCTCTGATTCGCTCGCTTTCGATTTTTCACGTTTTGACGCGCGAACTGCAGTTTTGTATAAGAACTCGTACAATTGATCCAATTTTGGAAATTCGTCTCTATCGAGACTTACCTCCCACTTGTCTAACGTAACCTTCGGTAGTTTACTCTCTAAGATGTGTACCATCATCTCGGATCCGACGGACACTCCTAACGCGTCTAAAGAAGCAATGTGTTGCTGCGCGTCGTCGGCAAGTTTGGTCAGTCCGTTCGTATTTTCTTTGTCTAACACAGGTAAATTCTGGATTAATGATAAATGCCGAGATATTAGTATGCGTTTCACCTTATAAGCGCGTTCTAAAAGTTTCCACGCCTTCGCGTAATTTATGCCGTCGAATTTTATTAGCGGCGTCACCGATTAGCGCTGATTTTAAATAGTGTAATTTCTCGACGTCCGACAGATCCGTCTGAGAACCGATTATACTGTGAAACGCATTTTTAAACGATAGCAGCCTTCATAGCTGCCATCGAACGTCGGCATTGGAGTCTCGGGCAATTTTACTCGTCGTTTTTTAATTGACGTTATAATCGTTGCATTGTTAGTTTGAGTTTCAATGCCTGCCGAACTAGTACTCGCGATCTCCGTATCCACCGGCACGAAGATGGCCTTGATCTTACCCGCGAGAGCATAAAACCGATCTTGGATATTCACGAACTCGGTTTGATGCCCGCCGGTCGGTTCTAATACCGCGAGTTCATCATGAAAATCCTCGTACGCGTGATATAATTAAGTTAAGCGATCTATGCGTAATTTTAATGTAGGTTTGTCCAGCTTACCCTTTTCTAAAGAGTTGGTTAAGTTCGTAATCTGCGATTTAAGGGAGGTTCGTTTTTGAACGAGAAGTTTGACTCTCTATCGGCCATGTCTATTATTCGCGTTAAGATTATAAACGAACGACTCACTCTTACCGTTGTGGAACGTATACCGCCGAGAGCCCGTGTGATCTGGTGTGGTCTCAATCACGTGGATGTACCGGGTAGATTCTGCTTCCGTCGTCTCGTAATCCAGGGGTCGTAAGCTCGTATCTCACAGGAGCCACCAAAAATGTTCTGTCTATCAGCACGAGCCGTTTAAGGAACGCACTGTAACTTCGCATTCGATGGATAGGTTCACAATGACTGTTAACACTTCAGTTCATATGAAAAGTATATTAGTCCACATGTGTTTTGTAATGTATATATTTTACACGAGTGTTGCACTGAAATGTGTTATTGTTCGTAATTGGTAATATCTCGAGGAAAGTTGTCAAAGTCTGTGTGACAGCGAATACCCTGAGCCTATGTGTGGCAACGCCTGGGGGTTTCGCTACGTGTGGACATACACTCTGAGCCACTGTGTGGTTACGCCTAGGAGTGTAGCCTATTCGCGAATGGACGCGACTACGCCTGAGGTCGTCGCCTTGGGTCGCTACAACACACTACACTGCCTTTCGTATAAGAAATTAAACTCTCGATTCACGGCTTAGAGGACCGATATTTCGACTGTTCTTCACGAGTTCCGAATCGAGACTACCCCACTGCGCGCGTTTTCCACGTCGAAAGATACTGAAAAATAAGGATAGTAAATCGGCGGTCTATCGTCAAGAACACACGTGTGCCGCGGCTCCTATCATCTCCGCGGCGACAAAGACCGAGACAGTCGCCAGGAAGTCTCCGCAATACTAGGCGACGAGACACTCGCTTGATTGTATATGATTAAAGGCGCCGAACCATGCAAAAAAACTCTTCGGTATTTCGGCTTTCTTTCGATCGTGTACATGGCCATGTACTGTATATGTGTACATATATGTGTAAGTGTGTTGTTTGTCCAACGTTTTCTTTTATATGTCGTGCACGAATATCAAATGCGTAACATCATCCTTATAAGGAGAGTCACGACAGAGAGTATTATAGAACATCTTCAGAGTTAAATCGATCGCGATCGCGATCGTCCGGAAGCTTTGTCAATCGCCACTGAAGATCATCTCGTGGACACTCGTATTCATCAGAACGTCAGACAGCCTTGGAGGAAAAACTGGATAAACTGTTAGATGTTTTATCACAGTCAAACGCAGTTTGCGTCAAACAGCGAGAGTCTCCTAACCTCCATGCGGCCCCCGCTACCTCGATTTCTCGTGACAGCGGATCAGACAATGAAGCACCAGCCGTTATGGGTACGCCGCTTCTGTTTAGATTATATGTCAGGACGAAGTCGCATGTATGGCGTCGTCCATCGTTTCGTGAGGTTGCCCCCGAGGTACACCCGTAAACGCTCGACATTAATCTACGGACAAAGAACCATTACCTTGTGTTTGGTCATGTCCAACATTTTCTGAAGCTGTCCGTAGAGACATGCTCAACAATATCTAGCCGCACAGTCTAGTATTCACGAAGCCCAGCTATTTGCATATTATCGTCATGACGTAAGTATGATATAGCGATTCTTATCTGTCCCTTTAGATAAGGCCCTTGAAGACAATTCTACAGCAATGCATGAGGCGACGAATACTATTGCACGATGCAGAGCATGACGTTACAGCTTTCAAGAGGGATTTAATGGAAGCCAATTTAGATGACATAGCTACGGGGCCATCGGTTCATGACTTAATTACAAAAACATGGACATCTATTTTTTCTAGCGGTCTACAAAAAGAGACTCTCCTTGCATTGCGCAAGAAATACGTAGTGCCACAGAATCTACCCCTAACTAAGGCTCCTACGCTTAATATCGAAGTGCGTCAGATCATTCCCCCGACATCCGTTAAGAGAGACGAATATTTGAGACAGCAAGTGATACAGGCCGTTTATTATCCCACGTACAACAGCACATCTCGAAGGCCAGGCGTGCCCTGATTATTCCGATGTTGACTCCATCCGCCAAGATTGCCTTAGAAACCTCCCCCATCGATAATCACCTATTCGATGAACAATATTTGAGTAAAATGAGGGACGCAGTAGCAGCGGACAAATTGTTAAAGACTCTTACAGTTCCAACCGCAAAATCGGTAGTTCAGAGTACATCACGTTTTTAACAGAAAACTCTTTTACAGGGAAATGCAAAGGCCTTTGCTCGCAAACCAATGTCTCGTCGGGGAACAATGGCGTCATCTCGATCGACAAGACGCCGATCGAGATCCCGATCGAGGAACTTTCGAACGAGGAGACCTCGATACCATCGTTAGAGGTAAGCGTTGCTGGTAGACTCGGCAAATTTGTAAACAGTTGGTCCCGTATCACGGATGACGCGGTTATTCTCAATGCGATCTCGGGTTATATAATTCCTCTTATCCAGAGTCCACCCTCCCGACCCTTTTTACGGGAACCACATCTGAGCAAGGCAGATTGCTCTCTTTACGAAGCGGAATTATCTCGCTTACTGAATAAAGGAGCTATACAGCGCGCCGAGTTTCGACCGGATCAATTCCTTTCTTCATATTTTTTAATAGCTAAGGCATCCGGTGAGAAGAGATTTATTTTAAATCTCAAACCTCTTAACGAATTTGTTTTTGCCTCCCACTTTAAAATGGAAAATCTAGAAACAGCAATCAATTTAATGACCCCTAACTGTTTTATGGCTTTAATCGATCTGGAAGATTCTTATTTCTTAATCCCAATCCACATCTTATATCGAAAATATTTACGTTTCTCCTTTCAGGGAAAAATATTTGAGTTTACGGCCCTATCGTTTGACCTTTCTTCAGCTCCTTATATCTTTACCAAGATAATGAAACCGATGGTCGCTTTTTTACGAGACAGAGGTTTTTTATCAGTCATATACTTAGACGACCTTCTAATCTTTGGTAACACTTTCCAGGACTGTGCTGCAAATGTGAAACAAACGCTTCACTTACTCGACTCCTTAGGACTCATAATTAATCCAAAGAAATGCGAGCTCATCCCAGGTCAGAAAAGAAGATACTTGGGCTTCATTTAAAATTCCTCAAAGATGCTGATATCCATCCCAGAGAACAAAAGAACAGCCATAACCGACAGGCTCCAAAAATTTTCTAACAAAAG